GTTGAGAATCACTGATGTAGAGTATTCTGCCATAAAAACAAAACAAAACAAAATAAAAATACACAATATGTTTTGCTGGTTTGTTTTAACAAGTGCAGGATTTTTTCCCTTTTCCGGTCAAAGCTGTTTTATTAGATAAAATATTGACACAGGGAGGAAGTCAACATTTATGATCTAAACCTTTCCATTGTTAATATGCTCAAGAGAATACAAAATGCAAACAACTAAACTATTAAAAATTATTTTGCCTTTTCCAGATAAAGAAAAACTACCAAAAATGTAATATAAACAGATGCGTGAACTGAGTGCACATGTGCCCTGTTGTCACTTATAATCCTGCCTTTCTATGTAGGTCAAAATCTGATTCACATAGGATTTGGCTAATAACATATTAGGCAGAGAATGATGTGTCAGTATTTACATGGGAAAAATCTGAATCTGCCCCCAAAAATACATTTCTGTGTAGGTACAACTTTTTAAATTGAAAAGCTCTTTGAAAAATGACATTTATTATTCAATATACATTCCATGAAATAATTTAGGTTTGCCAAAGTCATCTCAGTGATAAACAACAGCATTCATGCTTTTACACTGCCATTTATCTAACACACACACACACACACACACACATATAAACATAAAAAAGATATTGAAATAGAGAAAAATGTTGAAATAATTAGACATGCACCCAGTAAAATATCATCAATTGATTTGGTAGTTACCTCCTGTTGGGGGCATGGGACACAGATAACTTATTTTTTTTCCTTATTGAGCAACATTTTCTAAATATTCTTCAATGAACATATTTGAATCAGATAAAAAGAAAAACAAATTTTAAAATACTTTAAGACCTTTTTACCATTTATTACTCACATAATTTGCCAAGGGCAAAAGTAAATATAAGCTCTATTGAGCTCTATATGCTTAGAAAATCTAAAATGTGAAACCAGTTGGATGATGAACTATCACAGAAGGCAATGATTTCTTTCCTAATAAGTTACATATAAGTCACTTCTTGAGTGAAAAATTGGTCAGTTGCACCTTTTTATTTATATCTCCAAGTGAATGTTTAGCATTTTCCCCAGGGGTCCCTCTCTGTAGTTATTGGTGATTTCAGCCATTCATTTGCATCTGCACACATGCAGAATGAAAACATACCTGGGGATAAACTTCTCACTTTTAAAAGAGAGTAGATTTGTTCAAGAAAACACTGCCCTAAAGCCTCTGTGCTGAGAAATTAATCTTTCCATAGAGAAATTCCCACTGTGCAAACAACTATTCAAGACATAAAACATGGAAAATATGCTGAACTTCATCATCACTAATCAAATATTTCCCTATTTATTCATAGGAAATTCCATAGCATGTCTAATAGAGCACTTTCTAAATCTATGAAATACTATGCCATTTGAGGTGAAGTGACTTTTCCTGAGTTGAACTACTGTGGGGCAAAGTGAGAACATAAAAATCCATCCAAAAAGACTTTATGATATAAATTTATTAAAAACTATACTACCAAAAATGTATTACTAAGGGGCATACCAGGCAAACATAAAGTTTGAAATATAACTAAAATTATTTTATAATAGTTCTATTAAATTGTAAAATTCTCAACGAATACAATATTCATATGCACAAGTATTTTTAATAGCTATTACATAGATTCACATTTCAATACTCTTACATGGTTTAGTGTGACAATAAATATAACTATTCCATGTCTCAACACTTTTAAAGAAGCTTCTCATTGCTTTTAAAAAAAAAAAAAAAATCTACTTGACATTATTTAAAAGCTATTTAGGATCTGGTCCATGCTAATCTCCTCACATTATATGACCTGCAACAAATCAATGTGATTTGTTAAATCTAAGGTGGCACATTTGTTTCAGTTCTCTTACATATTTTAAGTACTACTTTTTGTCTATAGGTTTAATGTGATTTCAAATCCAGTTGGTTATGACTTAAGCGAAGTTGTTTTAACCCACTTGTTTATGACAAAACAAAAAAGGTTGCTTTAATAAGTAAGAATGAAGGAAGTTGTGTCATCAGTCTTCATCTGCTGTCCTTGATAAGCAGTCAGCAAGCAGCCCGGCTGCTGAGGGGTCAGGCTGGGAGGTCTGTCCCTAAGAACATGTAGAGAAGCAACTATGTGAAGGGGACACACTGAGAGTTTGTGAGGACTATTTGAGAGTTCGGGTTTCCGCAAGGAGACGGACTCTTCACTGTCCTCAAAACTCTCTGCAGACCTTTGGGGCATTTAGCTCCTGCAGTGGCCTAGGCGACTCTTTGGTTGACAGGGGCCCCATGAAGAAAGTCAACCCACCTGCCAGCAACAGCCTCTTAATTCTCTAGCAAGATGCCCGGGCAACAGGGGACTTTCCTTTTGTGCTGGCAGCTGGAAATCAGCTCTCGGTTGGGAGCTACCTCCTCTGAGCGCCTTCTCATAAAAGAAGGTATAGCTCCGTTAATATGCGGACTTGATTCCTCTTATCTCCCCTTTCCTGCAGCAATAGTGTGACTAATCTGTTATTTGTTATTCTTTATCTAGTTTATTAAGAGATACTATCATGCACCCAAATTGTGTGCTATTTGCTTGTGAAGTTATAATTCCCACAGTGAACATATGTTAAGTAAAATTGATGGCAAAGACACACAGTCTTTGAGTATAACTTTGCCACCTACCCAAACAAAAACCAAACGACACACTATTCATCTTAAGGATATTATTACTATTATTAATTATTACTATTATTCCTGTCACCATTTGTTAACCACATAAAATTTGGGGGGCCCCAAAGCGTAAATCTTTAATTGGTTGTTTCTGTATTTTTAAAACCTTTTCTTTCTTAATATGTTCTCTTTTTACAAAGTGCTTTTAGGATTTTCTTTGTTTAAGCAGGAATCTTACAGGAGACTGTTTCCAATTTAACTACATCTATGAGGGATAAAAAGTTTCACTGACACTGCCAATATGTCCATAGGATGATTCATTTTCACATTTGAGGAAAAGACTGGCCTATAAATGTTGTTCTCTTGATTAATTGGTCCCTAATTATCCTTATTTTTGATCTTCAATGTAAAGCAATATGCTTTTATTATGTTTACATTTTGCTTTAAGCTTTCTCTTTCTGAATTGTTAGGTTTCACTTTTGCCTTACTGTGTTTTTATGATTCCTTTTACACATTTACAACATGAAGAATGAATCGGGGACTTTAGAATAAAATATAAATGAGTATATATCACCACCTGTTTTTAGATATAAAGTATTAATGATAAATTTGAAACTTCTCCATGATCACATCCCATGGTTAACCCCCCTGGGCTGTACATATTTCTGAATATTCTATTTAATATTATCTTGCTTTCCGCTGTAGTTCTGCAGACTGATATGCTTATTTTTGCATAGTAAATAAATAGAATTACACTATATAAATCCTTACAAAACTTGCTTTTTATTGTTCAATATAATGTTGTAGGAGCTACCTATATTTACGTACCTGGACAGTGCGTGTCACTGTACAGTATTTACTTGTATAAGAAACCAAATTTATTTATCCATTCTACTTCGGATTGAAAATTCTGCTACTTACAAATTCCTGTATTTACAAATGATTCTATAATAAATCTTATTAGGACTCATGGTGAATACTGAATTTATGTGCCTAGGAAAGAAATTGCTGTGTCAGAGAGTATACACATATTTCATGTTACAAAAAAATGCCAACCTATTTGCCAAATTATTTCTGTCAATGAACTCTTTTATTAGGAAAACAAACTCTAGGGACCCCAGGTCATCACCAACCCTTGTTATTATTCAATTTCAACATCATTTACCAATCTGGTAAAGGCCAAATTGTGTATAATTATGATTTTTATTTTCCTGTCAACTAATAAGTGTGAACATCTTTACGATTTACATAAGAAACTTATTTGTAAAGTACTTATCAGTACCTTTTCCTCACTTTTCTCTTTGTCTAATTTCTATCAACTAAGCAGAGGTTTAGGCTATCACAAAGAATAAAGACGTTTATTTGAGGTCAGAATTGCAATCTGGGACACACAGGTTTAAATAGCAACCTGAAACCTGGTCCAGGGGAAGAAAGGAGGCAGAGGCTCACAAGGCGAAGGAGAAAGACATTCCGGCGGGGCCCAGAGGCTGCTCTTTCCTGATGTGTGACCGGTGCCGGGACGGCTGCAGCCGCACTAATCCATACGCGCCCGGCTGCCAGGGCTGGCGCCAGGCAGAAAGTCCATCCACGTCCATTCTGATAAGCAGCAGATGTCCGTCCAGGATGTTTGCAGCTTGGCCTTGAGCTGAGTTTAGCAACAGGTCAGCAGCTTAACAGCAGTTCCGAGAACTGTGACCTGCGACGTGCCCAGGCACCACTTTCTCCGAGTTCTCTCGATTCCATTTTAAGTGGTTCTCTTTACAGCGCTTACTCCACTTTATTATCTGTTATCATTATTAATGACTGTGGGTTAACAATGTACAAGCTATCCTCCCGCTCTGCAGCAGTTTACTTCCTTATAGTGTCTTTGATAAACAGAAGTTTTAACGGGAATGTAATCAAAGCCTTCTGTTTTTAATAAACTTTTTATTTATAAATAATTTTTAGATTCACATTTGCAAAGATATGCACACCCCTCAAGAGTTTTCCCTTTAGCTGAAATCTAAATATGCTACATTTGCCTCAACTAAGGAGTAAATGTTGGTACATTATCATTAACTAAATTTCCATATTTATTAGGATTTTACTCATTTTTCCCTAAATGTTTTGTTTTCTATTCCAGACTCCAATCCCAGACACTACACTTTATGTTCCTATCATGCTCCCTTAACCTCTGGTCGGTGACAGTTTCTTAGTCTTTTGCTTCTGGTGATCTTGACTGTTCCGAGGCGTACGCGTCAGGGATTTTGCAGGGTGTTTTCCAATTTGGATTGTCTGATTGTTTTCACGTGATCAGTCTGGGGTTATGGGTTTTGAAGAAGACTAACAGTGGTCAAGTGTCCTTCTCAAAACATCGCATCAGCTGGTATATGATATCAACATTATTTATCATGGATGATATTAACTTTGGTCACCTGGTGAAAATAGTGTTTGTCAGGTGTCTGAACCGTAAAGTTAATTTTCACTTCATGAACACTCAGTTATTTAGAAGCGAGTCACTAAGTCCAGCGCACACTCAGAGACGGGGGATTGTGCTCCATCTACAGCATGCTAACCCACTGCTTTCTATGTCTTATTTGATCGCTATGTAATTGTCATAAAACCCTTCTTTATTCTCTCCTGAGGGTTTCCAGTGTTTATGTTATTTCACATTATTCTATTTTGTTTCTGTATTTACTTATTTACTTTAATTGCACTATGCTGGCCAAGGCCTGCAGTACCATGTTAAAGCAAAGAGGGTGATGGGCTTCCTACCTGAACTCATTTACAGTCTTAATGGTAGTGCCATCAATGTATCAGCATTAACTATTTATTGATAGCCATTTTTGAAGATATTTTTTGCTTGGATAACGACACTTGGAATTGCTGCCTATTTAAATTTAATTACCTCTTGGATCCTACAGCAAGTGTGGATTTAACTGAGTTCTGTATGGACCATGGGAGTTTATTGCTGAAAATTCTAAGGGGACACTGTTTTCTATTTCTTTCCATCCACAGAAAGAGCCAAAACAGGCAAATTTCGTTTCCATCTCCCTTTGTATAGAGGGTTTATTCTACCCTGAAGTTATAGCACTCAGGGGCTTTGGCTTGATGCAAAGGCCCGAGGCTCTGTCTCCTGCCACCCCCACATGGCCACTGACACAAAGCCACCCATCACTGGCTGATGCCCACACCCTCAGGGCAGCCTCAGGCGCCAGTGCCTTGCTACCTCTGGAGTCCCTCCCTTGCTCATTTTGGCCTGGTGATTTTTCCTTTCTACCAGGGCAGCCATACATCTAACATTTCCTTTAAAAAATGTTATCAAGTATTTTACATTTTTTGTGTTGAAATTATATTACAATGTTCTGTTTTATAATATAATCATTCTTGATGTCTTCTTCTTTACACCTTCCATGATATTTCTCTTTTAAAAGACAATGTAATCATTTATTTTTAATGCCCATTTTACACATTACTTTGTTCTTGCTTAAGGTTTTCCATTAATTATTCTAAATAAGATAAAGTAGGGAAAACACAACTACAGAAATGAGGAGGTAATTAAATTTTAGCTATGGTAGAAATGCAATAAGAAAGGATTTGAAAATAAAGAAAGTTAAAATGCAAAATGTTACAGTAAAGACCATGGTATTCTTAATATTAGCATCCTTGCATCCTACTTTGAATATAGTTTGTAATTTTCAGGCTAGCAAAATATTATCACATTTTTCACACTGCTAAGAGATGGAACATCTGCTATTTTAAAATATGTAGCTCTAGTTCTTTGTATTTTATTATATATATACATATATATATAATTGACCACAGAATGTGTACGATTATGGTTCTTAGAAACATAAGCCAAGATAAATTCTTAGAATAATTAAATATGATATGCAAACTTAAATGAAATCATGTGTAGATCTTTTCTTTTTTAAATTGAGACTGCTACATTTCAGCTTTCTTTAATTTTATAACTCCCAGAAAACCATCTTATTATGAACCTCATTATGTTGAAACTGACACAGATTTAGCAGCTGAATGGGCAGATTTTTAAAAAATGTTAATCAGCCTTACTAACTCACTAATTATACATGTTTTTATAAAGAAAAAATAAGAAAAAGTTGGTTTTACATATCAAAGGTGAAGCCTGTTATAATATTAGGAGGGGAATAACAAATATATTCATTAATACTTTCAGATAAAAATTCCTGAAGTATCATGTTTAAAAGATATCAGAACTTTGAAAATGAGGCTCTCTTGTTGAAATAGCAAACTTGGCTCAGTACTATTAAATATAAAAGGCCAATTACAAATGGTATATGACAATTCCGTTGAAACTTTAAATGTACTTTGGCCATTCATGTTTCTGAAACATGGGCATATATGGGTGTGTGTGGGGTGTGTGTGTGTGTGTGTGTGTGTCTTTCCATTCAGACTTTGAAATTTTTAAAATTTTCTTTTACTTGCATGATAAAATTCATTGCTTGTTTCCATTATAACTTCTATGCTTTAAAAAACACCAATCCCTGCCCCTGCTACACCTTTCTTTTCCCACAATTATTTTGGTTCCTTGAAGTAAAATACGTCCGTGGCACTGATGGAAGAAGTAAGGGTCGGCATGGTCAAGTCCATCACCTGTTCAGTGGTCCAGGGCATGAGGGCGTAGACCAATGACTTAGACTGATGATTTGGAGGCTCAGGCTTTCATACTAGACTGAGTGATCCCAAGTCAAACAGAGGATTATTAGCATTATTAAAATAATTATATAGGGAGGTCACTAGACTGAGGTGGCTCTAATGTCTGAGTAACTTAAGTGAGCAAGTCAAAACCTAAGCCAGACTCAATGCCTGTAAATATACTCACATCCAAGAAAGTGAAATTTAAAAAGCACTGATCACAAACAGCCTGTTAGGCTTTCCCCAAAAAGGTCGCTGCTTAAACTATAGCCAATCAAATCGTTTTCTAGCTTTATTTCCACATTTGCCCTATAAAAGCCTTTACCTTAGCAACTGCCTACAGTATTCCTAACTACTTTGAGCCTGGCACAGCCCATTGAAATCCATGTTTGCTCAAATAAACTCTTGAAAATTTTAATGCACCTTGACTTATCTTTTGACAACACTTTATCAGCAACAGAGATCCCAAGGCAGACATATACGGTGGTGGGGGGTGCAAGTGGGGGATTTATAGGAGCAGATTCACATGCTTCTGTTTCACTCCAAACTCCCCATGATCACTGGTCCTTTTTCTCCTGTGTCCCTTTGTGTCTGCTGCCGTATTTTGCTTAAGACAACCAGGATGCTTTTCTGGTGTGTGCGGGCAGAAACCCTGACAAATGTGCCATTCTTCTATTCTTCATTGGTTATTTCCCCTTCTTGGTTCTAATTAACAGTGCAAATTTTACATCAGTATTCCTCAGTATTCTTTACATCTTTATTCTCATATATCCAGCTAGGTACTAAATATATTTATCTGGATGCTCAAACACTAACCCTTCAACATTACCTCTCTTGTAAAACCTATGCATCTTCTCCTATATCTGCTCTCAATTAATAATGACATCATCCACTCAGTCACCCCAGGCAAAAATATTTGAGTTAACTTAAACTATTGCTTATTTCAAACCATTTGCTCCAAACCACTTAAGAAATCCCTCTTACATAAGTTCCTAAACATTTTTAGATACTTTATCTGTCATATCTTTCCTTTCACCACTGCCTTATTTAGCTCTCTCCAACATTTTGTCTAGTATATCACTTTTATTCTGCCTTATATCCTTGCCATTAGTTTAAATGTTCTCTCAAATTAAATTTATTTCATACTATAGAAATATTTGTCTAAATACATTCTGCCCATACTACTTCATTGCCTAAAACCTTCAACTGAATCTCTGTGGCCTATAATACATCAAGCCAGAACCTCTGGTTGTGATTTATAATGTTTTCCATGGCTCTCCTCTGTCTGGCCTCAACCATGACCACTCCCTGACATGTACCTAATGATCTAGAAGAATTCTGTACATACCACTCCTTTGCTCATTCTATTGTTTTTATTAACCCTCTATTTACTCTCTAGATTTTAAGTCCCGATTTTTAAAAAGAGTTAAGTCTGGTGCTATTTTCTTTTTAGTAATTACCCTTTCACTCCATGCATAACTTTAAGAATATATTTATCAGTCTCTATTTTCATTTTCACTTACTTCCTGTCAACCCTGAGCATACTGTGGGTTCCAGAGAGATAGCACACAATAAGCATTTGTTGAATGGTTTAACGGGTACTGGCTGGCAGAGAGAAATATCGAAGTCTGGTGTTGATGTCAGTAAAGAAAAAAAAAGGATTCTAGTGGACAGTAGATAAAATCAAGTAAGATAATAAAAGTTTGGTTTACATAAGTGAATTTAGAGTCAAAGATGAGCTATTGTGGATGGTATTATAAAGGGGGCTAGAAATGGAATTGGGAAACCAGATCATATATTTTCCTTCTTTCAATGTCAGTAATAAAAGCAGCTTCACATTAAAACGTGAAGCAGGTCTGCACTTTTACATTCTCTGTGAAGCAAGCTTTCACAGGGAGTATAACACCAGCGAAAGCCAAGCTTCATGTAAGCAGAGAATATAAAATATTGTTTGCTTTGGGAAATTTGAGAATATAGATAATGCATCTATTTATTCCTGTTGTCTAATGAATGACTAAAAAAGCATAGGTCAGGAATACAGGTGGAATGTCTTTGATCACTAGTGGACATCAGGTTATTTTGCTCTAAATATGAGACAGTTCTATTTAGAACAGTGTTGAGCAGAGTAATTTCTGATTAAAATTGGTGTTTAAAATTTTCTTTAAAAGTAACACGTGACATGAAATGAGTAACCTATTGCAATTAATTTGTTTTAAGTTCATGTGGTACAACAAAGAAAAGATTTCAAGAATTATATGTTAAAATTGATAAAATGAAAGAGATAATCGACACACTTCCTGGAAATCTTAATTTTTGTGTCAGTAGAGTGGAGGAAGGGGTGAAGGCAGTTCTGAATAAAGATGTCATGTTCAATGTGACTATAAATGAAAACTGTATTCTGTGAATGTATTTTAGGTATTTTTTCAGCTATCCCAGCTCTATGTGAAACATGTATATGTGTATTTTCTTTTGTGGTGGAGCAGGCCTTTGAACATAACATCTCCATTCAGTTTATCAAGACAATCTATGACCCATCAAAAAGCTTAAAAACCACCTCTACATTTTAAGAATGAGAGAAAAATAAATTTAAAGGAATTTGTGCCATGTGATAGACCCACTGTTAATTGGTCTTGTGTGTTTACTTAAGCCATGTATGGAGCCTGATAGATAAAATTGTTCAAGAGCGAACTGATGGAAGGGCAGTAGGATAGATTAAAAGTCTGTCATTTGCTCATTTCAGATTGTTGTTGGGTGATGA